GAAAATGAAGGCTAATCATGTTTTGGGTGTACTATTCCTTTAAGCCCACAGGGTCTTAGGAGCAAATTCTGCCTGACATTACATATGTGAATTAAGGAAAGTACAACTCCCAAACTATAAATTGGAAATACAATTGTTTGTATTTGTATGACAGAAAAGCAATGAGGAATATTTTTTCTTTTTTCTAGGTTTAATCACCTATAAATCAGACATGGTGACAATAAAAATACCAGAAAAATGGGTATATTTTGATTGTCACCATGTCTGATTTATGGTGATTAAACCTAGAAAAAAGGAAAAATATTTAGCATCACCAAATTTCTTCACAAAACAAACATTGCAAAACACCATGAAACCCCATTTGAAACTCTGGATGAACCATCAGACTTTATAGATCCACACCTTAACTATAAGTTTAAGCTAATTTGGACTGAATAAGTTGAAGCATGTTTGTTCCACAAAAGAAGTGAGCAGAGTGCTAGGAGGAAATATGATTTTGGCATAATGCCAAAAAATGTATTTTTCTTCCACTCATAAAAGGTAAACTGGTGATCAATCTGTCTTAAACCTTAATGGAAATAGAAAGTGGTTGGTTGATGCATTTATTGATGAAATCATTTCTGAGCTGAAAAGAAGCTGTTTTATCTCCCTGTTTCATATCTTCCACTCAGATCACACACTGCAGTAGATATTTTATCTTTCTACAATAGAAGAAATCTAAATCTAGATGATCTTAAAATAAGTGCATTGTTCTAGAATGGAGAAGGTAAAAGAGACATTTTGCCAATAGAACAAAACTATTTACATTTACAATAAGAAAAAACAATTGCATTGTCTTATTTCAAGTACATTTTATCAAAATATCACATTTTAAGAGTAAAAATACTTATTCCATTGGCAAATCATCTCATTTTCCTACTCAAATTAAGGGTGGATACAGTTAATTTAAGAAATGTTTACGTATTTCTAGACCGTTTTTCCAGTGTAGCTGTATCCCTCAGCGTTTCATGAACATTGAACGTGGCTGTGGTCCCTCTGCTCAGGTCAGCTTCCTGGAGAAGAAGGTGACGGAGTTGGAGAGTGACAGTTTGGCCAACAGTGACCTCAAGTCTAAACTCAAACAGGAGAACACCCACCTTGTTCACAGGTGAGGAGAAAACATCTAGTTCTCCTTCAGAGCCAGATTAACTCCTATGAAGCTGTTTCATCACAAACACGTTAATATTTGGTCTAAGATGAAGCTCATGTTGGAACGTAGGATAAAGGATGATTTCCCTGTTTTCCCATCTATGCATTAATCACATTTCTTGCCCTTCCAACGTGTGATCAGTACATATGATGGATCGATGCATCTCATCAAGACAAACCTTTTCCTCTCAGGGTGCATGAGCTGGAAGAGCAGGTGAGGGATGCAGAGACGAAGGCTGCAGAGACGCTGGGAGAGGAGATGAAGAGGCACCGGGAGGCTTCCAGCAAGATGGAACGAGACAGAAACGCAGAGATAGACCTGCTCTGCTGCAGGTAACCCAAACTAACGCAACTTTGTTTAAGAAGTTTATTTCAACCAAAAGCATCCAGAACCAAATGGTAAGATCCTGTTAATGTCAGGTCTGTGTCAGAGGTCTGAGGTCGCCTGCAGCCGTGTGGCTGTTCTTTATCAGGCTTATGAGGAGGCTGCAGTCATCGGGTAAATCGTTTTGGAAATGTGGAACGCACGTTAACAACAGTAACATCCTGTGGGATATTTTTATACTCTGTGTTGTTCAACTGTAATACATTTATTGGCCGCCCCAGTCAGGGTGATAAATATCCTATTTAATCAGATAATATATGACTATTGAGTCATATATTGTTTTTGAACACAGGCCCTACCGGCTGTCTGTTAGAACAACAATTGAAAGAGGGAATCAAGCTAAAATCAGATAATTCTGCTCATATATGGAATAAAATAACCGCCACTTCCATCAGTTCAATTCTATTCAGTTTATTTCTATAGCTGCAATTCACATGATGTCATCTCAAGGCACATTACAGTTCAACCAGATCATCCAGTCAGATTGATTCAGTTTTCTATCTAAGGAAAACCAGCTGATGCTTCCAATCATTGACCTATAAGACATGCTGCTCCTGGATGAGCTTACGGCGACGATCCCTGCTGGCATTGATTGGTTGAATCTTCAGGAATCCCTCTGACTGAACATGAATGCGACAGGATTTTTTCATTGGGCTTGAAGTGAAGAGAAAATAAGCTGTAAAACGCAATTATAAAATAATGCAATTTATAAATCAGCGTCTGAAAAAGAAAAACATTAAGTAAATGAGAAAATGGGGAAAAATATGAAAAAAGAAAAAATCTAATGAAACAGAAGAGTCTCCCCAAACTTTTTTGATTAAGAAGTTTTTTTTTTACTTTCACTTCTGGCTTTCAGATTTTCTTTTTTCAGATTTTTTTTTTTTTTGCAATGACACACGAGTGGCCTTACTCTAACCACATGCTTGGCCCCACACAAATCTCTATTTAAATCATACATTTTATGATGCTCTAATCAAGAGCTGCCTTTGCAAAGGTGCATTTGCTTTTTTATTTTCAGCTCTCTGATGCCCATTTCCTATTTTAATCGATTCTAATTCATAAAATTTTTTCTACACTACAAAAACCAGAAATCTGAATTATTCATTTTTTTTTTAATTGAGGAGGAAAGTGAGGCACTTTGCCAATGGAAGAACAATTTAGATTTGAAACAAGAAAAAAACAGTTTCATTGTCCTATTTCAAGTGCATATTATCTAACTGAGAGGCTGCTCAGCGGCGCAGTGGCTAGCCCAGCTCGGGGTCCTTCTAAATGCATGTTCTCCATGGGTTCTCTCAGGGTACTCCGGCTTCCTCCCATAGTTCAATTAACTGGCTTCTCTAAATCCAGCTTAAAGGAATA